AGTGCTTATCTGTGGGATGTCCCCTGATGACTTCAGCTGCCACCTTGGAGAGGTGTGGGTCTCTTGCAGATCCCTTGCTGTATCTGCCAACCATGTGCAAATGCTCTGGAAGCTCAGAGGTATCTTAAATGGCAGTAGGCACCTGTGTTGGAAGTGATTGAGTCCCACTGACATTGACCAGTTGCAATGAATAAGCCTTCCCAGTAATTGGTGCTGCTTCTTCCACTGATAAATTTCTCTCTCCAGCTTTTGAGTAATTTCTCTCTCCAGCTCTTAATAATGGCTGTTGGCCCTCTAAGATTGCTGATGAAATAGCTGAAGTGGCCTCTCTGAGCAGAAATATGTAAACATTGTGCCCTTATAGGTGTATCCTCTCCTTGGCTATGGACATGTATAAAGTAGTTGTGGTCCATACATATATAGCCGTCCTTTTCCAAGGCAGAAACTGTTTAGTGTCTCTGCCAGCAGCTATACTGTGTTGCTGGCCAAATCGCTTTGCTCCTATTTTGTAATCTTGTTGGAATATACATTTGTGCTCTGATGCCGCAGGCTCTTTGCTTCCCAGCTCCTCTCTGTGTGTACTTTGTCTTCTCTCCTTGTACTGGTCACTCTGCTGCTCTGCAGATTCTTCAGAGCCTTTTCCAGCTGTTTTTCCCTCAGGTTTGTCTCCCTGATTCTCATTCCACTCAGGGCACAATTAGTGACTTCTCAGACTCTCTGAAAGTGTTTAAGTTTGATTTAACAGAGCTAACTGTATTGTTTTTCTTTTTACTGATATCTTTTCAGTGGTTTATTCTTTCCAGTATAAAAAAAAATATAGTAAGAATTTAGCTCAGAAATAAGAATTTAGCCCAATCCTATAACAATAGGATTATCCTATTAGTAATTAGTAATCTATTAAAAAAAAAAAAAAGTGTCCTGTAACAAGCAATGTCTAAAAATGCTTGCTCATCTGTCATTACAAAATGAATAGCAAGAGCTGGTGGTGGTTTCTTGGAAATCAGTATGATTTATATGACTTTTCACCAAAAAGGAAAAAAAAAAAAAAAAGCTGTGTTAGAATGACTGCCTGAAAGAAATTAATTGAATTAATGAAATTAATATCATTAATTAAATTAATGAAAGAAATTAAATTAGTAAAAATTTTCCAGTTGCTCTTTTGCAGATACAGCAATTAGCATAATGGCTCTTCATTGTCATCCTGTTCTTGTGTTTAAAAGTAAGTACATCTCTGAAGAGCCTGGTCCTCAGAATGTGGTAGTCAGTATTGAGGGTATTTAGGTATCAGTGTCAGGTCCTCACTGCCTTAGAAAAGAGAACAATACTAAAAAAATTAAAGTCGTTAGTGGTCTTCAGTATTTACATCAGATGATGGAGACTTTTCAAGAATTACCTTTTTCAACTTTCCTTGTAAGTGTCAGGGCTTGAGCTTCCCATTTTTCCCCATCTCAAGCCAAAATTCTGGCAGCAGTGAGTGCTTGAGCTGGGCCTTCAGTGGACCCAACATGTAAGACTTCCAATAAAACAGCCAGTGATTTTTCCTGATGGTGAATACTGGTGTCATTTCTTTCCCTCTGCTTCTCTGAAGAAGTATGCTTGTTTTGTGTCCTGCATCCATTGTGGCAAACTAACTCTGAGGAGTTTGGGTTTTATTTTCTTCTTATTATTTTCTTATCAGACAGATTTTACAGATTAATGTCTTTGATCATCGTAGCAACCATTGAAATCCATAGAAAAATCCACAGAAAAACACCTATTTATGATTATTTCCCTGCAGTTTAGAGTACTTGATACCATCTGATAGATCTGTGGCAAAAGCCAATGTCGTTTCACAACAGCACCTCACCCCTGGGCCACAAGAGCTGTCCTTAGCTGAGATCAAGTAAATAAGCCCCAAGTCCACATCTGATTAGTACAGATATATAGGAGGTATGAACGGGACTGGCCAGATGCTAGACCATATGATAAACAGCGAGGATCATGGCATCATATAAAACTGGGCATTTATATGGTACAGCTGGCTATGCATAATCTTCTCCTGATTTATATGGCGGGAGCATCTGGTCCATTGCTGTTGCTCTATCAGCTTTTCCAGAGCCCTGTTCTTGAATTTCTGGTAGTCGGATACTGCTCTTCTGAGTGCTGGTGGAACGGGAAGCTAAGGCCATTTACAGTGGGACATAAGCTTTTACTCCATCCAACAGAGAAGATGATGTTCAGCCACAGTCATGAAAGAAAGAAGGGCAGACCCTTGTGCGATGGGTTCCACTTCATGCAAAGATGAGTAACTGCAAACTCTAAAAGACATAATTTCTATTTCTCATTAGCAGGACTCTCAGCCATGACACAAAGACTTGGCCAGATGAGGCCATTGTGACAGGCTGTGCCCATGATTGCAGACATCCCCCGGTGACACATCAGGCGAGGTTTTACAGGGTGGGTTGCACAAGTCCTGCTTTTGTTACACTGCTTAGTCTTCCCCACCCTGTGCCATAGCCCTAGAAGCCAGCATTTATTTCTCTTTCCTGAAACAGAAGCTGGCATTTGGACTGTTGTTAGAAGATGCTCTGTAAGTGACTAAAAAAAACAAGAGAAGGGTGTTTTCAGCTGGGCCTTGCAAACTTAAGGCCAGAAAGAGCCAAGCTGACCAGGTAAAGGCATCCTACGCAGAGCGGTGTGCGCGGGCGCTCACCGCTGTGGAGCCATGTGCCACCCCGGGCAGCTCTGTGTGGTGGACCCACAGCAGACGGTCTGTTTGAGGCCACAAAGAGGAAGGGGCAGGAGGGCCAGAGCTTACTCTTCCAGGTATTTCCAAACTGCAAGAAAGCCCCAGTTGTGGTTTAGAGCCTGAGACAGCTCTTCCTCCATTCCACCCTCATGAACACATAAACAGCAGTGCAGGTAAGGCTAAAGCACCGATGACATTGTTTTTAAAAACTACAGCATTACCAATGCTATCTAGAAGCTGTGAGTGCAGATCACCCAACTGGTACATGCTACAGCAAAGCACCTCTCCCTGCACCAGCCCCATCCTGCGAGCCCAGTGGAGCAGGTCTTGGGAACATGCCACTACCACCGGTTGTGGAGAAAAAATACAGCACCAGTCATTTTACCAAATCCTTCCTCAGGAAAATTACAGGTCAGAGCAGAGCTGAACGGAAATTTACATTTCATATGGAAAGAGAAAACTGGATTTTGCAGAGCGTCACGGGGTTGACAATAATAAATCCTGGTACTGTCAGAATGGAAGTGGGTCGTTCCTGCAACACTTGCACTGCTTTCTGTAAGCCTGCGTTGTTTCTGAGGAAGTGAAATCTGGTTAGCAAACATAACCGCCCAAGACTTCTTCAGACCTTTTATTGTTTTTCTCAGTATAAGTGCTGCACACGTTGTATAATTTTATCAAATTGAAAAATTTTCAGGTTTCCAGTGTCTCCAGAGGTCCATAGCATGGCAGCTGCTGTATTTCTAGCCAGATCTGAATGCTTCAGGCACCGCTATGGTTCTGCTGCTGCTTCTTTTTTAATGTCTTCTTGAAGATTTGAGAGCCCTAAACAGTTTCATACTCTGCATCTGACACAGGAACAGTGTCCAGCAGTCTGAGTCTGTTCCCTGACTAGGGTCAGTAGATGTTACATTAATAAAGCTTTATCTTTGTGTAACAATTGCAATGTGAGTTGCCCTAAGAAAGTAAGTGAATTTGAGAAAGAACTTGAATTACTTCAGATGCTGTTTTTGGCCTGTGATAGCCCATGAATGGATAAAGTCACCACTGTGGAAACATAAGACAGGGTATTTCTTAATAGTTTGCCTGGATGGTTTTATTGTCGTTCTGGCCAGTGCAAGAGAGGTGGTGGGGCAATGCTGGATCTGAGACTTGTCATGGCACTAGGTACTATACAGAGATTTAATAAGTCCTGTTTCCCAAAGAAACGTACCTAAATTAAGAAATTGTGTGATATTGCTGGGGTAAAATAATTGGATGAAATGGGAGGGGAGTAAAGAGGGAAGCATGGTGAAGGAAACCTGGTTTTATGGACTAGATATGTGGATGCAGCTAAATGCCTGCAAATCTAGTAATTCAAATATATCATGTGTTAGAATCCGACAGTAGCTATATTTGATATGTTATGCTCCTTTTCATTTTGGTGAAGGCGAGAGTGACCAGCATTTAAGCACAGCCTTCTCCCAAATGCCTGCGGCCAGCATCCTGATGCTGTTCTCAGTGGTGCTGCCTCCAGGTGAGGTGTTAGTGGCAGACCATGAAAAATGCTTTGGATGTGGCTTAAGTGAACTCAAGGTCAGTTACTTAAACAGAACCAATTCACCTTTGTGTATATGAAATTAAGGGAAAAGTAGGTAGTGATTATGTAGTGGGGAGCTCCATTTTTCCCAGGGCTTGCTTTGCCCTCTTGTGTCTGTCCCACTCTTACCTCCTCTCATTTAATTTGCACTAACAGAATGCAGTTAAGTATTAAGATTCGCATTAGTTACAGACCTTGCAGATGTAGAAAAGCCACTTCATCTCTCCATCCCAGGGTGGCTTAGTGGATATCTACCCAGACCTTGCCCAGGAAATCTTTTCATTTAGGAGATGAAGACTTACAGGAGTAAAATCATTAGAAATCACAGGTAATGGTCAGCATCCATTCATGAGTTATTGTGAAATGGTTGAAATAGAGGTCTTTTCCATTCAACTGCCTGCCACTGACTGAAAGTGAACATCTTTTATATTTCAGTTTAAATGAGCTCCTGCCTAACCACATACTGGTTTCACTGTCAGTCAGAAATGTTATGTTAAGGGCAGTCTGAAGACATTGTGAATGTGGAATGTGCTCCTGGACTATACAGTTCTTATTTTAAAGAAAGGATGTTTTTTTCATCTTTTTTTGCAACCTTTGTTGTAGAGGAAATAAAATAACTGAAGCTTCTGTTTTGTAAATTGTATTTTAATTACAAGGCTTAAAATAGAAAATCCCTAGAAAGAATCTTAGGGGTATTCTCACAAGGGCTTTTTGCCTTCTTTTTTATTACAGTACATGACTATTTCCTTTCTAAATGCAAATATTTACCATTTTAAACTGTAATATGGGACATATACAAAGTACTCTTAGTCTTTGTGTAGCATCAAATGATTAGGATGAATCAAATCATTGAATTCAGCAAAAGTTAATTTAAAAAGTATACAAGTATGTATTCCAGACATAGGCCACAGATGTTGATTTACTGCTGGATCTGTGATGGGATGCATCTTTTGCCATTATTCCTGTAACTGGGAAGAGAAAGAGAATTGACGCGGGGGTGCACATTTAAGCTGGATGGTATTCAATTGAACTGAAAATGCAACACATGCCATTGGCTTGCATCCCTCCTGTACCTCTGCGGGTTGTTCAGCAATCCAGCTCTAACCTGAGCTTCCAGTCTTTCACAGTACTGGGAAAGCAAGCAAAAATGCAGGAAAATCACCTAGAAACTGGTTCTTTCCTTAGCCTAAACCTACTGACCAAGTCTCATGAGAAACTGACATTATGAATGATATTATGAAGCAGAAGAAAATATTTTATAGTTAGGGTACCAAGCTGAGAACAGAAGCACAAGTTCAAACTTTAATGCTTTCCCAGTTTTCCACTGTCACCCCTATAATGGGCTCAAATCTGAGCTTGCTAAGGCCAATGACGCTGAAGTCAACTTTGGCTTAAGTCTTTATGGCTTGGCACCTGCAAGGCAGGATTCACAGTAAATCTCTCAGCTGGGCATGTGATACAAAAAGATAGTCTAGTGATTGAGGTCAGATTTTTCAGACCAGCTAACTGAGCTAACTTTTTCATTTTGGCCCATGGAAACTCGTGGAATTTGATAATTGATTTATTTTTGAATGCATTACACCTGAAGAACGGCCATGAAAAGAGGACAGGCTCATTTGAATTAAATATATCAGATAAATCCCTGAAATGCAAGGCTTTCAGCAGAACTGCATGTTAAGAAAGCTGGAGGTCACTCATTTTCCTAGTTAATTATTACCTGACAGGAAAAAAAACTGATGAAAGCAATACTATGTATAACTGTTTAAAGAAAATGAAGAGGGAGGTGTTTCTGAAGACCATGCCGGCGTGCAAATAATGATCCACGCCATTCCTATAATCTCCTTGGCCATATCATCCTTACCTGGTGTGAAACTAGTTGAGATGATGCAAGAATTCTGGCTAATATTGTCATACGGGATAGCAGGTTTTATGCCACACCTTTTTTTTCTCCTTTTGGAGAGTATCTGCCTTTGGTGAGGGCATAGCTCTTGACTCCAGAGTCTTCTCCAGTTTCAGCTGGTGACTTACCTGTCGCAGAGGGGCCAGCCCTGTCACTGCAGCACGGTGCACTGCCTGCTGCTGAAGGCACTGCTGCGGTCCAGCAATGGCACGTATGTTTTAGCCACGACGCAGTAGCTGACTCCAGGCCTCAAATCTTCTATTTTAATAACCTTGTCTTTTCCTTCGTACACCAGGACTCTGTGTTGCTTCAGACAGGGCAGAGTAAAAACAGCTAGTCAAGCAGATTGCCCTAGTGAGTGTGTCTCTGAGTAAAGCTTGATAAGAAGGGAGGATGCAGAGCAGCGCTTCGACTTGCAGAAACTCAAGAGCATTTGTAATTTAATTATGATTTTTAAAGAAAATTCTGCCCTCCCCCCCATTTCCCCTCCTGTCCCAGATTTTTAATCTAGGTTTAGAGTTTGAAATACTAAGTTGATGGGAAAGAATAAAGGGAGGAATTACAACTCGATTCAATCAAATTAAATTCCTGAAAAATAAGCCTACTTTGTTTTCAAATACTCACACAGTTGTCGGTGCTCTCACAATCCCATAAGACTATTTCAACTGTAAAACAGGAATGGTGTGCCCATACTTTCCTGGCTTTTTAATGTAAAGGGTTCATATTTGAATAAGCTCTTACCTCATCTAGCAAGTTGTTAATTATGAAGACTTGATATAGCAGATCATAATAATTTGTCATTGGTATCTTGCTGCCTTTCTTCCTTTTATAAGGAGAACGTGGAGCCTGGAGCTTTAGTATTACGGATTTGTCACTGTGAACCACAGTTACTGTTGGAGGTCCTATCATAGCTGAGGAAAAAACAAAGATGTGAATGCAATTATAGTTTATTAATAATGTTTCACAGAGTGCAATTTGAATCCATTCAACAATTTAATGTTCTTGTTACCAACAACATACTATGCTACATTTATTGTTAAAGCACCACTTTGTAAATCCTTACTTCTTAGTGGTTTTTGCTTGAGACATTTTGGGGGTGACAATTCCTGTGTTTGTAAATCTATCTTTGAGACAAACTTTTTGAAACCTCTGAGAGCTGCATGTTGCTGACCACAGGCTGGTCAGGCAAAATGCTTTGGATTCTTTGCCCTGATTTTCTTTCTTTCCTCATATGTATCTGTGTGCTTGAACTGCATAAAACAGCTATTTGAACAATTTCAGTTATGCCAAGGGCACAGCTTCAATCATTACTTTCAAATTTTTTGCAGTCTGCTTGGTTAAACGCAGCTAAGGGTTCCAGCTAGTGTCAGCATACCTGTGTGTGCAGCCCCAGAGATGTGGGGAGACAGGAGAGCAGCTGCCCCACGCATTTCTCCGGGGGGGAGAGGAGGAAATGGCACAGGGTGACACGAGTGGTTGCTGCTGCAAGGTACTGCTTTATGTGAAAGTTTGTGGTTTCATCTGTACAGAACACTCAAGGTACTTTGCACTTCAGGACTGTGACCTGCATTGACATCCACAGTTCCATTTTGTATTGACCAGTGAGGGGAAACTGGTTAATTCATGGGGAATGTACTGGTAGGTACACTGGTACTGTTCACTCTTTGATGGTCCCTTGATTTCTAACATCCTATGGCATTATAGTGACTGTACTCACTAAAGCTATGCACACGTCCTTTCTAAATACACCTCAGTCAGGAAAACACATACATGTGAGAAGAATGGTGGCCACACAGCTCTCAGCAGTCTTCTCCCTTTTCCCCTCAAACAGAGAATGTTTCCTTCTTTTCCACCTTGTGTCCAGTCCTTCCAGCAGCTCCGAAAATGGCTGAAAATAATTTGTGTAGTTCCACGCCTTGAGGAAGAGGTTGAGTTAAAGGGAGGCGGGCATTTCTGATCTCCTAATTGTAGATAAGTGGCTACTTATCCATAATTGGTTGGCATCCAAGCGTGGGGAAAATTATTTTATCACAACCCTTTACCTGAGAGCTATTTACTTACAGCTTCTTTTAATACAGCTTTGTAGCTAGAAAAGTATTACTCATGTTTGCAAATTGCGAACAGATATGATGTATTCCATGCCACAGAAAATCCGAGTCCTTTCTCAGAGAGACCCATATGTTTGCACTTACTTTCTTGCCAGGGAGTGAATCTGCAACTGAGGCTCCAGTCGGAATAGATGCCGGCTGATGCGGCTTTCACTCTGCCGTAGTAAGGCTCTTGGATGTCAGAGGTCTCACTTGTTAGGTCACAGACATGGCTTTGAATCCCCCAGCAGTCATCTTTATTTTGCCACGTGCTCTGCCCATACCTATGGAGAAAGAGGAGGAAGGACGTAAGCTTTAGCTATCGCCGACTGGGTCTGTATAGATTTTTAACTGTTTGTTTTAACTCAGCAGCACTGACAAGTGTTCTGTTATGGAAATTAATTCTCTTCAATTTGATGACAGGGAAGATTGATCTCATGGGTGTTTGGGAGCTACAGGTTTCTGTCTTTTCTGAAAGAAACATAAAGCAGAGACATGGGTCACCAGCCCTGTAGGAAGGCACTGCATGCTCGCCCCTCAGGAGAAGCGGACGAGCTCTGGATTAGCCAGCGTGTTCAGTGATGGACAGAATGCTGGGTTCCACCAGCTGACTTCTCAAAGGCAGTAATGATTTCAGATGCTCACCAGGTGTGCCAGGGATGGACTGTACCTCCTCTGAGGACCAGCCTGTAGTGCTGCCTCAAGTTTGCCACGCAAGGCACCCTGAGGTACCGCCATGGGCAAGGTGGGCCACCAGAATACCTTAAATGTCCTATGGCAGAAGTACCTGACCTAACTAGACCTGCTTCAGGCGGGCGGTGGGACCCAGTGACTTCCAGAGATCCCCTGAAAACTACATTTTTCTTCAACTCTATGGTGCAATGAGGGTGCAGAGCGTGTTGCTGGAGATGCTTGTTCCCTGCCTGCCACAGGCTGTTCAGCTGCACCTTATGGGCTATTGATAAGCACAGCAACAGCTGAGAGCTGGCAGCTGAGCAGGACGTGGCTGCTCCCCAGCCATGGGGAGAGCATCCCGTGTCACCTAAGAAATCCATCTGATGTGCCAAGCAGGGATGGCCCCTAGCCTGGCGGGAAGCTGGAGTTCCCCAGTACTTACATTTTATACTGCACAAAGTAGACTGTGCCTCTTGCCTCTCTGTCCCTCCCAGGCTGCCAATGTAAAGTGCTGTTGAGGTTTATCGAATGAAACTCTACCTTCTGCGGCTTAATCGAATCTTGCAGGTCTTGGTTTTCCAAAACTAAAATTGCTGCAATATTAAGGAACAATAACATAACGTGTTTGTCACAGACACGCTCTTCCATATTGAAATCGGGGCGGTTATTGCTACAGTTCATTTGGTTTCATGACTAGCAGACTGCAGGGAAATTAAATATCCCGGATCTCATGTTCAAAACTTTCCAAGTCAGTGACCAGATCTAGCAGTTTGAGAACAAACACATTAAGTATCATGAAAGGAACACTTTTATGTGGTTTGGTTTTGAGTTTGTTTTTGTTTTTGTTTTTTTTTGTTCATTTTTCCTTAGTGAGTTTACTGCTGTGAAAGATGCCTGATGGACATGCCAGGAAACAAACCCTTCAGATCAATTCACAGAGCCTGCAGTAAGCAGCCCCAATAGTAGTTAGAGTGCTCTTTCCTCCACATCTCAGCTTTAACCTGCAGAGATTATAGCTATTATAACTGTTGCCACAGCCATGTCTATCAACACTTGCATAATAAAAAATAACCTGAGATTTACTGCGTTTCCAGTCTGCCCTACTGGAAAAAGTTGCCTGACAATTTTCAAGATAATCTGTTTTCAAACTGTGATGGTTACTGATGACAATCAGTTAACAACCTCTCTGAAGCATCCAAATCCTAACATTTTTCTGGGTTTCGTGACCCAGGTGGCTGCAGTGTTATCCTTGACATATCACAGAATCAGGTAAGACTTGTACTAGTTGAACTGAAACTGGTAATATAGCAATGAATAAATTTAATGGGCTTCTTTTATCTGCATTTCAGAACATTGAAAGACAAAATAACAGACTGATTTGGAAGTGACTGGACTTTTGAAACCCACCAAAAGATCCAGAGCTTTCTTGACTCATCCATATTTGATAACAGACTCAATGCCCCCCTCCCCACATAAGAAAAGAGCAGAAAGCCTCTACTTACTAGTTATCTCATCCTGAAGCAGGTGCATCAGTAAGCAGAGGGAGGAAAGCGTGATCCCCCTCATGCTTAGGAGAGCAGCTCCATGACTGAAGAACATTTCTCTTCCTCTTGGGCATGTCTTATGAGGAAGTAATTGTTAAACATTCCAGAGTTCCCCTTATTTTCAGTGGTTTCCAAAATCCCCGGGTTGGCTTTGGTTTAATTTAGCTGAAAAACATATGAGTTGCTCTAAATTAAACATAAGCAACTGTTCTTACTTGGCAGCTGTGGTCATTCTGAAGTTTGGAACTAATTATGAAGCAAACCAGCATGCAAAAGGACCTTTTTTTTTTTTTTAGGCACTAATTCCCAAGTGATGTCTGGCAATATTGCTTTATCCCATAAATTTGTCACACAAGCTTGCTTGCTTGCCATGCTAAGATTTAGTTAGTTAGTTAGGTGTTTGTTTGCTTGCTTGCTTGTTTATTTTTCAGCTCTCTAGTTGCTCAGAGCTGAAGAACATGAGGAACTTAGTTTCAAACACATAAAAGACCTACCCATGGGACATCATCTGATTTGGTGGCTTGTCTTCAGCTTGAATGCAAGCGGACAGAGTTTGCAGGTGTGTTCATGGCAGGATGTATTGTCAGAAGAACAAGGAGAGGCAAAATCACTGCCAGCTGTGCTGCTGGGCAGCGCATCCACACCATGCTGGCTGCTGGAGAGATGCTGGAGGCCGGGGCACTGCCAGCCTCTGGGCAGGGAACGGGAAGGCAAGCCCAGCCCATCAGGCCAAAGTGCCGCTCTGTGTTGGACTTTCAGACTGCCAGGAGTTGTATGTCCCAGCTGGTGAGCGTGTGCCATGATGCTGTCTGCACAGATACTGGCGTTTGTCACCGCTGCCCTCCGAATCCTGCCTTTCCAAAATGTGCATCCCTGCGAGCCCGACCCCAGGGCTGGGGGTGCCTGGGCTCCCCGGTGACAGTGATCTCGCTTTGTGTTTGTAAATGCTTTAATACCACGTGCATGCCTGACCGATGGGAGCCAGGTTTCAGGCTCCTGGGGTGTATGGAAGGCTCGGCCGAGCCATCAGTGAATGTGGTGTCACTGATGGCAAACACGGTGCTGCTGGAGGCAGCTGGGAGCCTTGCTGGCCGTCCTGCCCGGATTTGCCCTTCACTCTTCCCTCCCTGAAAGCTCCCCAGTGCTGATATCCACATGTACTTTGCTGCTCACGCACCAGCACATCTGGGCAAATGTCAGGACACATTCTCCTTTTGCTAGCTGACATTGACAGGCAAGAAGACAAACCCCAAAATTTGTATGACATAGCGCAGCACTACGTAACGATGCCCACCAAAGATATAATGGATCTGAAGAATACATGTCTGCAGAAACAAGAATTTGCCTAACAATCATCTTTACTTTGGGAAAAGGTGGAAGCAGAACACCTGCCAGATCAAAATGTGCAAATTCTGGTTCAAATGAAGGTTTATTTTTTTATTGTTTAAAGGTAACTGGTTATACTCAGCAAACTGGACAACATCTAATCGAGAAGCTGGCCTCAGTCAGATTCATGGGCACAGGCTCTCAGTTCAGCTGATCACCTCTACCTCATTATCCAAGCACAGAACCTGCAGCAAATGTATTAAAATGCTAGATGTATAGCTTTGAATAATTACCTAGTTAACCTAAATCAAGGAATTAAAGAACTGAGAAGAAATGCAGAAAAGACAAACGACCCCAAAATGGAGGTAGAAGGCAGAAAGTCTACCCTGCCATCACCAGCTGGGACTTTTCTATCCATTCATTTCCCAAACACATTTTCAAAATCCAATGACCTTTAAGTAGTTCCCCACACCAAATGCAATTAGTATTTCATCATATTCTATGAGCTCTAGTGCGGGAATAGGGAACTTTCATAAAACAATCACCAGACTGAAATGTCATCAAAGATTAGTCACAGGTTATGTATTTGCTTACTTGAATTGCGCCAACACACCTTCCCGTACCACACGTAACAGCCCATTGCCAGGAGTTGAAGCATGGAGCTTTGCCAAAATAGCTTTTGACAGTGGTTCCTCCTGTGAATGCAGAGCCGAGGGTCAGCCCGCCCGATGCCAGCGGGGCTTCGCTCAGAAAAGGCTGCTCTGCGGTGTGGTGGAACGAGGAAAGAAATGCCTATCTGTGGAAGAACTCGAGGTTTCCTGCACGCTGCACTCTGATAGCACTTTATCTGCGATTGGGCTTGGCACTCTGAAGTAATCGGTAACTCTTCACATAATTTTTTTGATTATCGAAACAGCTGCTGGTAATCCCCAGGTTATTAGCATCCGTAACATTGTCCTACTCACCAACTTCAGTCATGCTTCTTCAGTGCTTTGTGTGACAAAAGTAGTTACAGTCAAACACGTACCAGCTACACACACACACGCACGTATACAGACATGTACATATATATATATATCTTGAGTTTCATGAAATACATGTATAGTACATTTAAAACTGTAAACAAATGAGGAACACTATAGGATGATGTGTACTGCAATGCTATTTAAAATATGAACAAGAACTTTTAAAAAACAATATGGTTTAGGAATATTCTGATCGGTACTTTATGAAGAAATGGAAAATTAAAATGTTTTACTTTCCCTGCAGATTCCACATGAGTAGTTATGCTACTAGCTCATCCTAGCTTACACTGAAGCATCTTTTTGATCCAAAACTTTGATGTTTCTATGAACAGACAGAACCATGGGCATGAGAATTTTTTCAATTCTTGGAATAAAAACCTGTCTGAATGCTGGGCAAACAGATTTCTTTCTCTTAAGGATTGGATATTGCTGCACAGAGGTAAAAGTCAAGTACATTCTTGCTGGAAGCTGCCTGGCTCATACACTCTGATAGCACCACCTCATTGGTTTTGTTGTTTTTTTTTTTTTTCCTTTTCCTTGAACAAGTTGTTTCCTATCTGTAAGTGGAGAGAATTTAACCCTGGAACCACTTCTGCAGCACCACCTTTGGTTTTTCCGATGTGTCTCTGATATTTGCAGTGGATGTGAGGGTGGGTTTCGCTTACATGCCTGGATGAGGGTATGGGAAGATGAAAGAAGGTGAGAAGCTCCCAAAGCATAGAGAATACTTCTAGTAACTGGTAGAGGCCAGACAAGTCTCGTGTGGCATTTCATACAAGCTGACAATAAAAAATCAATAGTTCAGATTATTCTGGACCTAAAGATTATTCTCATTTTGGGCCATAATTTTCAGTTTTTACTCTTCAGCCAGCACAGATTAACAGAAAAACCTGTCTTGGGAGGGGGCTTTGGAGCTCATCCAGTCCAGCCTAACGCTCAGAGCAGGGCTAATGACAGTTTTATCCCACACTTAACCACTTTCAGCATGAGTTTTCCCCCCATATATCTAAGTGGGATTCCCTCACTGCAATTTATGACAACTGCTTTTTGTGTTTTGATCGGGGGCCTCAGGGAAATGTCTATCTTTTCTCCAAATGTCTGTATAGTTGGTAACTGTAATTAGATTCCCTTCCCAGCCATCGCCTCTCCCAGCTGAGGGGACCCAGGTCCCTCGGTCTCTTCTGGTGTGCCACATGTGGCAGGGTGGCCCTTCACCAGCTCAGTGGGGACTGTGAAAATTAATCACTACACACACACACACACACACAAAGGAGAAAAAAAAAAAGAACCCCCCCCAGTCAGGCAGGAGGGACTTTTTGGATTTCTTTTTTTCCCCTGCCCTTCAGGGAAGAGGCATTGCATTACAGAAGTTCTGACAAGAGCAGTTTCTGGGGAAGCAAGGCTGACTTTCACTGCCCAGTGTGTGCCTTCACTGCTTCCTGCCCACAGGTGTGAACTGTTGAGTTCTCACTGTTAAAGGGCTTAGGTCAATATTTTAAAGATTATGGTTAGAAATTCCCAATGCTGTAGCTGCACCTCGATAGTGAGACATCTGAACATATTAAAGATCTGCTGAAGGCTTGCTGTGTAGCAATTGTTTGCACATACAATATTTAACAATATGCAAGACATAGAATCACACCAGAAAGTTAGTAACTAACATCAGTTAGGAACTGTAGGTAATAGCAAATGTCAAAATAGCTCAAAGCCTTTTATTTAAATGACAAGTTTCCTTAAAATTGTCAGCATGATTTTTTTTTTTTTTTCTATCTAAGAAGTGCTGTATCATGTTTAAGCCCATTGAAAAAAGACCCGCTTTTCTTTAGGTTGTGGGACCCTCACAGCCAAAAACCCACCAGCTGGTTTTCATATGGAATGTGAAAACCCATAGTTCGTTTGTTTTGCTAAGGTAATCTTAACGGTATATGGAAAGATGCCAGGTGATCACACAGCCAACAGAAACCACAGATAAGCCTAGAGAGGTACAACACAAACATCGCTCATACTTGATCCACCTACTGAAGTAAAGAAAGAAAGGCTCAAAGCCTGGTAGTGCTGATGCTTGCTCTCTCAGACACACTGCCACCAGGAGCAGCTGAAGTACTGTCTGAAATGTTACAAGTGTGAGTAGGGGAAGACCCATGGATTCATTTTTTTTGTAGGCGGCGGTTGGAAGTCTGCGTGCCTGATTGCTGAAGCCGCATCCAGCCCGCAGCCCGCACGGGGCTGGCTCACCACGCAGCGTGCGCCGGGGAGGAGACGGAAGGAGATGCCTGCCCCCACGGCTGCAACCCAGGCCTGGGCTGCAGGAGGAGCAAATGCTGCTTCTGGTAGCTACTTTGGGCAATAACACCTGGAAAGATGAAAGCTCCAGGGGTTTCCCTGGCCAAGGGAAGAATAGAAAAGGAACGACCTTTGGCTCACGTCTTCTGCAAGTGGAAGCTTGCAAGCATCACGCCTTCCAGCCTGTGGCTCAGTTCTGTGGTTGTATTTTGAATTCTCAGTGTATCTGTACCATCCAAGGAGCGTGAGCTCTAGAACAAGACTCTAGCAACAATCTTCACCACCACCACCATCTCCAAATTAGTATTGAATTTGTAAATATACTGTAATGTTATGATTTTTTTTTTGTTTTGCTTTGGGGTTTTTGTTTCATGTTTTTGGTTTTTTTCTTTTTTTTTTTTCCTTGTTGTTTTTGTGGGTTTTTTTTGTTTTCTTTTTTTTTTTTTTTTTAAATACATCGTCTCAGATCTTGTATGGATACAGTCTCCTGGCATTCAGGAATCAGTGTGCTGAATCTTCCACGCTCGGCATAACTGGTTTTCACACTTCCCAGAGGTGTTAGTTTCGAGTTTACTGCAACGTGATCATTTAACCAGAAAAATTAGATCACCCTATGATATTTATTTGCCAAAAAGCTTTGTTTTTTCTTACAGGAAGTGAAATTTGGTGTATCTAGTATCATGGAAGCAGTTGATAAATTAATTTTTAGTAATAAAACACCCAAATTCACAGTGTTTTGTTCCAATTTCTAATCAGATTTGGCAGGAGGCGGGGACAGGTACTGTGCTTGTGCCTGATATAAAGCCAGATTTCTGGACAAACCCACGTGGAAGAAGGGACTGAGGAACAGCAAAGGTGCTCTCTGCCTCTTTGCCTCCACCACCCTCTAGCCATTCAGACAAGTTTTCATAACCCTTCATTACCTGCTATAATTTATCTTACAATTAATCATATTTGCAGCAGGTTGTAATCACGGCTATTGGTGTCACAGGCCTCAACTCTACCAAATTTGGAAGCAGAAAGCACACATCACTACATACAGTTACCATCTTCTAAGATGGGACAGCACATGCCCCTCACACTTCCTATAATTAACCAAGATGCTATTAACTTGGAAAAAAACCCAAACCAAACCAAAACACAACAAAACCCCCTCAAAACAACAAAAAATCCCCAAGCCCTAAAACATTAAAAACCCCAAGACACAAAACAGTTATACCCAGAAAGAAAACACAGTGTATTAGATTTTTATTCTTTTCACTATTTATTTTCAGTCTGAAAGGATTCTAGATACTCTTTGTGGAAGGGTATTTTTGAAGGGGCGTAAGTTAAGGAACCTCTCTGAGTCTGCTCTACTCAAGAGATGTCAGCACAAATAAAAACTGCATTAGACCTGACACTGCTTAATGCTCTACTGCACACGTTGCAAATATTTGACAACTGCAGGATTACTTTTGCAGAACAGTGAGCTGGCTGGCAGAACCATCTGGTTTTCCTGCTCATCATTTGTTCTGCAAAATAAAATAAAACTTCTTTGCCCCAAAATAAATAAAAAATGACTTTTCAGACTGATCAGCTACCCTGTCATTGTCGAATTACACAAATGGGCAAATTAGAAAACATGAGGGTAATAAGTATATTAAAATGAGATAAAAACCCCCAAAACCTCAGGAAATAAAATGGTTTTGACTAAGTAATCCATAATGGGTTAATAAAAAACCTAATCCATTACTTAAAACTCAGAGAGTCTGTGTTATAAATCTAAATGTAGTAATTAATGCAGGCATGTTACAAGTTCGACAATCTGCACAGCCATTTCTAAGAGAATCCAAATTCTTAAGGCACGACTGTTCTCACCGGAATCAGCCCAGAGACAGCACTGCTCCATCTCAAGAAGTTACTTGGAAGGAATAAACAAGTTGATCAGGTGTAGAAAATGTTTTTAAATTGCACATTCTAGATTTGACAGGCAAGTGAAACCAAAATTCTTCTAATGGTTCCCTACGTTCTTTTAGGTAAATTAGCATGAGACTTGGAAGACAAACAGTTGATCTCCAAGATGCATATAAGAATGCACATGCTCACTATTAAGACATAAACCATGTAATTAAGACTTCTGTTATCATTTAAACTTGAAATAATCAGCAAGAACTTCAAGGAAGCCCAGCTTTCCTTGCTCTGCAGCAACTAATCCGTTCAGATAGTGTGACTATTTAACCCGTGTCCATAATTTTTAAACAGAACCTAAGGGGAGTCCTTAGGCTCAAGCAGTAGAACTGGACTGAAGCAGTAGCAGGCTGCATCGATAGCATCACAGGGCAAAAAAGAAATTGCAAAGCCTATGATATAGCCAGAATCAGTGGATCAAAGAGCTTCTGCGCGTCAGCTCTGGCCCCTCTCCACTAGCGGAGCACAGACAAGGCAGCACCTCACATCTGTACAGGAGAGACACCTCCTTCAAAACAAATGGTTGTACATCACGTCCTCAAAATCAGACTTCCACTGCTGCCTGGAGTGAGTGGTACTTGACCCAAAGGATATCCCAACAAATGAGAAATGACATTAGTTTAAAACTGATTTTTCTACATGCTAATACATGTGGTAAGTAGAATACAGTAACTGGCTACACATAATTATACACACAGAGGTACACGCTGTACCTACCTCCCACAGCATCTTCTATTCCTTTTCAATAATGCTCAAGCATACATTACATACACAACATGAACTGAGCAAGCTTCAGAAGCAGATTTAGTCTTCAGTACAAAAGCTAACAGTAAGAAAAAGGTGAGCACACACATTTGCCTTCAGAGATTTTTTTAATTTAATGTAAAAACATTTTAAACTTACAGTATTTACAAGTAGCTTAGTTACAAATTTTGGACAAGAACCAAAGTATGGTCAGTAGGCCCATTGTGGATATTGTTTCTAAAGTCAGGAAATTACATCAGAAAATACTTTCTAGGGGTAAAGAACTCCTAGAATAAATTGCCTAATGGGGTTGTGGAGTCTTTAAACAAATGTGCAGGAGCAATGATGATGTTCTGAGGAGAAAAATGAACCATAGACTCCTGGAGGTTCCACCTAGCCCAATGATTGCATCCATTTAGAGAAAGAACATGTATTAATAAACAAAGGCTTCATAGCTTATGTAAAACAAAAAAACCCCAACCAACCAAACAACAACAACAACAAAAAAAACCAAAAACAAAAAAACAAAACCAAACCAAAACACTAAAGGAATCTATACAGGTCACTCTTGTGCTTTGTATTTGGTTTGTGTTACATCCCGCTCAGAAGAGGGAGACAAGTGATTTAGATTCTTAAATCCCCAATGGATTGGACAATAGTGAGACCAGTCCCAAAAGTCCAGACATTTATTAATTTCCTGCAGTGTGCTAGTTGGATACATTATAATTGGCTAAGTACATATCAAGTTATGGCAAGCAATATAGTATGTCTTCTGTTACCTAATGATAATAAGGGAAAAAGAAGAGTGATCACTGGTCCAGCTTTCTGCGTTGGTCCTGTCTCAGTTTGTCATGGCTGCATCCATCTTCTTCATTTCCTCCTCTTTGCTTCTCTTCTATCCTCACCCCCTCAATTTATACTTTCCTTGGGTCCCTCCCCTAAGTCGACCTATCTATCCACGTCACATGTATAGGGAGGGGTTAAGGTCCTTCATGGGATGATATAAGTAGCATGATCTTGTTAATCTTCATTAGCATATGCATCAGTCACCTTCAATATGCATTTTGTGGATAATGAAGCAAAGGTCATTCACTGGACACATGGCCCTTGAAACTTTACCAGATGCACCAGAGCAGAACCATCCTGTCTCCACAGGGCTCCCTCCCCAGCCGCGCCTGGTGCCAGCCAGGCAGCCCCACCAGCTCCAGCCTCCCCATTACCCACCCCGTGACTGGAGTTTCCTTACCTGTGTTTGAGGCATTCCTCCACTCAGAGGGCCTCCTCCCACCCCATCCCTTATCTTTATCAAGTCTTGTTTCTCATCCTTATTTTTGGGGAGCTACAAGTCATCTCTCACAGTTTGTTGTTTTGCCCTTTTTTTTTTTCCCAAGATATGCTGAAACCATTAATTTGAACTAAGTACAATAGCTCTTATTTATTAATACTAATCTGTTTACATGGCACCACTTCAGAGCAACTGGCTATTTCTAGCATTGAGAAAAGCAGCACTTCTCATGCCTGTTTCTTTTCCTGCAATCTTAACTAGTAAAGGACTACATACAAATATGTATGTGGGTTCTAAGCAACCAGGACACTACAAGATGTCTTGGTTCCACAGATGTCAGTAGCTTTGGCAAGAATGATTTTTTTTTTTTTAAACATGATTATGTGGAAAAAAGCATAAATGCAGAACATCTGATGCTTCTGTGCCAGCAGTATTACCACCATACTTGTTAACTGCAGATCTGATAATAAAAAGCAGTGATGTCCACAGAAAAACTAAAGAAGTTCTTAGAAATGTTGTCAGGTATTAGGCCAAAGTTTTGCAATGCAATTTCTCTCACACAGTATATAATGTTTTGGAGTCTGACATTCCATCATCTCCCAAATCATCTTTAGGACACAGGAAGGGAGAAATGCTGAGCTGCCACGACAAGAGTTTAAAATCACCTGAAACAGCTTGAAGTGGTGAAACCTTCTACATGTGTCACACTGGATAGCCAATATGTCTAGAAAATGCATGAATATTTAAATAATTCTGAACCTGTGTTAGGCACTTTGATATCCTGTGTCAAGGTGTTATGCACAAATATCCAGAAGCTTACACAAACTAATTAATCACAAAAATATTAATTTATCAATTTAAAATAATTTAGTAGTTAAGTGAAAATGCATAGATAAACACTACCTGACAGCTTTCAAGACACATGGCTCAGATATTTGGTACTACAGAACCGCAAAAGCAAGGCTAACTAGCTGTAGCTAGAAAGGCATTTCCATGTACCCTATCCCAAGAATTCCTCACATTGCAGGCTGCTTGGGACTATATCCCAGAATACATACCACCATGAACTTACCCTGCTTTTAGGCTCTCTCTTAATATCACTGCTAGCTACTGCTGGGAGCAAGACTGGGGGAAATAGGGCTTATTGACCCAGGGACATTCTTGTCTCACTTGTGGCCTCGCATTTTCAGCTAGTCACAGCTAATGAAAGATCTGTGCGCTCAGCACACCTTTAAGTATATTTATTTCACAACTATAAAACCTGCAACTTGTCCTGAGCAATTTAAACATTTCAACTAGGCTTGTGGTATTGGCTACTTGTTAAGTACACAGAACACAGAAGACATACCTGCAGAGAGGGTGATAATTCGGTAGCTTTTATAATTATATTCAGAAATTTTCATTAAAATATACATTTAACTCTGTGACGGTTAGAAGACGTCAGTTGTGCACATATATATATGCTGTATAGAAAAAAGCACTCATACTCCTATGCTTGATTTTCAGCTTATAGAATAACAGTGTCTTTCTATTGTATGTAATTAACTGCAACACCAATTTTTTCCCATGTGCTCATGACATATTTCTGTGTCATTTCTCATTGATCTTAACATCTCTGTCCTTAATTATATCCCAGCACCTGGCTAGTGTCTTTTACTCACATAGGACTCCATGTGACTAAAGATTCAGGACAATGTACAATGTAGTAGTATTGCAGGGGGAAGAGAAAAGAATGAGACAGTCACTTGGTTTTAAAGTGCATCTCTCTGCCCTCACACAGGCAAAAAATACCATTCCTCTCTTCCAGTGTGGCAGCAAAGGAAAACCTTGCAGAACAAAAACCACTTAGTGATCGCTTATATTCACACAATTCTGAGAGGCTGAGTCTTAGGTTATAATTTTCGTAACAGGGCCAGGGTTTCACCACATACTGTTATGAATGTAAGTCTAACATTTCCAAGAAATTACATACTTCTGACAGAATAGTTCTGAGACAGATATACCAAATGAAATGACTGCTATGGCTAATTCCTGATCTTCTTGGAGAACTTTTTTTTTTTTTTTTACAAAACTGACAGAAGGAAAACCATCTACCAATTGCAAGAAGATGAAATACTCTGAGCAGTAGCAAAGACAATACTTAAGAAATTGTCTGATTAGAAACTTCTTCCCCAAAACCAAGCTAACCTCACAGTTTATAACACCCTACTTCTCACCTCTGAGCCAAGCTTAAACACATACCTGACATTTATAAAGTCCTGCGGTATTTATTGCAGTTATTTATCAACAAACCAACAAAACCTGAAGCAACATTAACTTCAAGCTCTGTACAAGACACAGCTGCTCCTCTCCTTAGCAGACAGACTGCTAAAAGCACACTTCAGTGGTGAACCATGTTATTAACTGAGAAGTCAGTTTAGTTGAAGTTTCATGCGCAAGTTAATTCTGGTTTTCAAAGCCTTCTTATAACACTTATTGTTATTTTTTGTACTTCTGCAATGGAGGTATCTACACACTAGTGGATCCTAAGCAGTAAGTCACCAGCATTGCCTTCTAGGAACTCAACCCAGAACATGACATTGAAAAAGTTACTAGGGGGTCTCACTACATTTGAACATAATGCAGAAACAAATCAAAGCCGGCTAACACATACTCAAATCTTTCTAGATGGGCTTTCCATTATACCATTAACTACAAAATCCACCCATTTGATTTGCCTTTTCCTAAAATCAAAACCCTGGTAACAGATCTGTTATCTTCTGGTGAATAAAGGAAGGAAAAATAGATATTGTCTTTAAATCTTTGAGAACTGATGGTTAATGTCTGACATCTGCAGGAATGGAAGCAGCCTAGAAACTGCTGTATATACTTAACTTTATCTTAGGAATACTCACGCCTCTGAGAAATGTAAGGACATAAGTACAATGATACTGGTTTTCCTTTAAAACCACCTGCTATAACATGCAAACATTTCCGATGATCCTACAAAAAACAAAAATCTTTTAAAACAAAGACTAGTTTTGTATAATTGCACCACCTTGTGTCTGTAAAACATCCTTTTTTTTCTCAACTAAGTATCATTAAGAACTATTGTAAACATTTCCTACAAGCAGAAAATACCCATCAAATCTTGACTAAAGGGCAATAACTGATTGATTGCAGGCATTAGACTTAAAAGTTTTTAACTGTAAAAAAAAAAAATCCTCATCCTTCATTTTTCAAAACTACAGCCTCATCCTACAACATTCAGAGGGCTGTCAGATGACAATAACTTACGTACTACAACTTACCACACTACAACTGTCTTGAAATGATTTTTAGAGGGAGGTAATTTTGTGTAGTTCCTCCGTTATGTCATAAAAAGGGGAAAAATAGTAGCAATTTTCAACCTGCTAGAAAATATATTTGGAAGAAGTCCTGTTGATGTCTATTAAAAAAATCATATCATTCTAAGAATTAGGATAAAAATGATCTGGAGGAAAGCAGGCTTTTGAATTTTGAAAGCACTTTCTAAAGAATTTGTGCAACCGCCCATTACATGGTTTTTTTTTTTCCAATGGTGATCAGCTATCATGCTAATACAGAAATTATCCAGAATGCAACATGGTTACACAACACATCTAGGTGACCCAAATGGACACAGTTATATACAAATAACAGCACTTTTTAAAATAGATTTTTTTTTTTTTAGCCACAGAACTTAATGTTACAAAGAAAAAAAGTCTATCGTTTACTTGCTGAAATGAAAAGTAATGATCCTGGATCTACATACTTCTATCTGCAGAAAAGGCTATAAGTGGGGTTTGGCCATGGCATCAAATTCTTAAGATACACAGGAAAAGGTTATAGGCATATTGTTAACTAAAAGAAACAGTAGCATTTCATTTAATACAAAAATACTTTCAGCAGAAAAAGACAAGCAAGACAATACCTCCAATAAAGGCAAAAACTCAAATATTTCTTGCACACCTCTACTGTAGCCAAGTGAAAGACTTAAGCATTATGTTCATTGAATTAATTTTGAAAAGGATGTGAAACAAAAGGGAATAATGATACAACTGCTGTTATACTCCTTCATGAAATCTGTTCTCCATAGAGTACTGTTAAAAAAACCTGACTGGGATTTCAAATAGGAAGTAGTGAATTATGTCTTATATACAACTGCTTCTAAAAGTGGTTATCATGAAATTTCCCCCCACTTTTTATGCTGTTCGCAGGCACTACTTTCAGTCCCATTTCAGGATCCCACTGTAATAAGCTGTATAGTGGTTACTTTGGTTGGATCAGAGCAAGCACAACTTTTAGATGTTCATAATATAACCCAGCCTTTCCATAATCTTCAGTAATGCTGTTCTTCCTGAGTTCTGGTTAAATACTTCATCTATCCTGGTTAGTCAGTTGGTCTGTAAGCAATCACAGGCTGTTCTTCACCAACATCTATTAACATATCTAATGGCACGTGAGGCTTGTCATAGCCAGAAAACTTGAGACAGCTGCTTGGAATAACTGTTTGCTGTATTTCTGTGGCAGAAACCTCTGGACCTGCAGAGTTACTACATATATCCATTTGGCTATTATCAGAAATGAAGTAACTCTCTCTCACTTTGCAATTCAGTTCATCATCATAAGATACCTCCTCTCTGCTTTCCTGCACAGGCACCTCTTCTGCTTTGCCTGGTGCCTCCAAGGGAGGAACAGAAGAAGATCTTTCACTGGAATTCTCAGGACTAACGGTTTCTTCTTTTGACTCTACCTCCAGCGAGGTTACTTCATCATTCCCTGCCAACGCCGGCTGGCCTGGCGTGACGCTTATTACAGATATGTATTTTGGCTCCGATTTTGATTCTAGAATGCTGTCTGCGTTCAGGTTTCTTATCACACTGACCTTAAATGGAAAGAAAAAAAAAAAAAAAAAAAATCACTTAGTTCCACATAATCTACTGATTTATTGGCTTTATCTTCTGTCAAAGTTTAGAGGTTAAAAAACCAAAAAAGATACAAGTTTGTAACACAAATTTACCATCTTTACAAGCAGTCCCAACAGAAATTAGCAAAATTAGAATCTGGCAAGGTCATTAGCCTATCTATGACTTCAACTGTTCCACTAAGACTTCTATGCAAGCTCTCAAAAATACTTTCCATGTGCAAACATATTTTCAAGATCAAACCCATTTCATGTCACCCACTGTATTTTAAGACATTTGAAGTTTGCAATGTAGAGGGAAACAGCAAAGGAGAAAAGCTTTAATACTCTTCAATTAGCTGTGTAAACCTCTCATACTCTATAGCTAATCAGTGTAACTTGCAATGACTAATATTTCGTAGCAACTGCCTCAGTTGGGAGGGAAGTGAACTTTGGAAAAAGCATGAGAACCTTTATGCATGCTCAATAGCTGTATCTATGCTGAAGTCTTTCTAGTTATTTCTCTTGTGTCACTAAGCTCTCCCTCAATGCTTTGACAAACTTTAATGCTTCACTTCAAAACCCCTCCACAGGAAGAACATACTAATTCCTTCAATGGCCAGGCTCCAGCTTGTTTTAAATAATTATGAAATTACTTCAGACTGAGGTTATTTTTGTGTGTGTATTTTTTTTTTAAAGGCATTTTCAAGAATACATATGAAAAAACAGAGTAGGGTAAATTTTCAGCTGTATGATGGTGTTCCCTAAAGCTAATGGAAAGTATAGGGAGAAAGGGTTACTCAGTAATAGTGTCCTTTTCCAAATTTCATAATTCACTATATGCGTGTATCAGACTATCAAGTACTATAGATAAGTTAATTTCTAAATAAAATGTATACAATCAAGTTTTTTTTTGAGATACTGTCGTATGTAGCCACTCACTCCTTCCCTCACCCAGTGGGATGGGGAAGAGAATAAAAAAAAAAAAACCTGTAAAACTTGTGGGTTGAGATAAGCACAGTTTAATAACTAAATAAAATAGCAATAAAAATAAAAACCCCCATCAATTGTAACAAAAATGTATGAGAGAGGAGAGAGAGAGAGAGAGAGAGAGAGAGAGAGAGAGAGAGAGAGAGAGAGAGAGAGAAGAGAGAAAGAGAGAGAGAGAGAAAGAGAGAGAGAGAGAAAGAGAGAGAGAGAGAGAAAGAGAGAGAGAGAGAAAGAGAGAGAGAGAGAAAGAGAGAGAGAGAGAAAGAGAGAGAGAGAGAAAGAGAGAGAGAAAGAGAGAGAGAAAGAGAGAGAGAAAGAGAGAGAGAAAGAGAGAGAGAAAGAGAGAGAGAAAGAGAGAGAGAAAGAGAGAGAGAAAGAGAGAGAGAAAGAGAGAGAGAAAGAGAGAGAGAAAGAGAGAGAGAAAGAGAGAGAGAAAGAGAGAGAGAAAGAGAGAGAGAAAGAGAGAGAGAAAGAGAGAGAGAAAGAGAGAGAGAAAGAGAGAGAGAAAGAGAGAGAGAAAGAGAGAGAGAAAGAGAGAGAGAAAGAGAGAGAGAAAGAGAGAGAGAAAGAGAGAGAGAAAGAGAGAGAGAAAGAGAGAGAGAAAGAGAGAGAGAAAGAGAGAGAGAAAGAGAGAGAGAAAGAGAGAGAGAAAGAGAGAGAGAAAGAGAGAGAGAAAGAGAGAGAGAAAGAGAGAGAGAGAAGAGAGAGAGAAAGAGAGAGAGAAAGAGAGAGAGAAAGAGAGAGAGAAAGAGAGAGAGAAAGAGAGAGAGAAAGAGAGAGAGAAAGAGAGAGAGAAAGAGAGAGAGAAAGAGAGAGAGAAAGAGAGAGAGAAAGAGAGAGAGAAAGAGAGAGAGAAAGAGAGAGAGAAAGAGAGAGAGAAAGAGAGAGAGAAAGAGAGAGAGAAAGAGAGAGAGAAAGAGAGAGAGAAAGAGAGAGAGAAAGAGAGAGAGAAAGAGAGAGAGAAAGAGAGAGAGAAAGAGAGAGAGAAAGAGAGAGAAAGAGAGAGAGAAAGAGAGAGAGAAAGAGAGAGAGAAAGAGAGAGAGAAAGAGAGAGAGAAAGAGAGAGAGAAAGAGAGAGAAAGAGAGAGAAAGAGAGAGAAAGAGAGAGAAAGAGAGAGAAAGAGAGAGAAAGAGAGAGAAAGAGAGAGAAAGAGAGAGAAAGAGAGAGAAAGAGAGAGAAAGAGAGAGAAAGAGAGAGAAAGAGAGAGAAAGAGAGAGAAAGAGAGAGAAAGAGAGAGAAAGAGAGAAAGAAATAAAACCCCAGAAAAGACAAGTGATGCACAATGCAATTGCTCACCACCCGCTGACCGAGGCCCGAGCAGTGACCTGCCCCCCCTGCCCCGGCCAGCTCCCCCCAGTTCACACACTGAGCATGATGTCTGTGCTGTGCAACAGCCCTTTGGCTAGCTGGGGTCAGCTGCCCTGGCCACGCTCCCTCCCAGCTTCTTGTGCACCTGCTCACTGGCAGAGCATGGGAACTGAAAAATCCTTAACTTCGGGATAAGCACTACTTAGCAACAACTAAAACATCAGTGTGTTATCAACATTATTCTCCTGCTAAATCCAAACCACAGCACTGTACCAGCTACTAGGAAGAAAATTAACTCGATCCCAGGCAAAACCATGACAGATACTTTGTAAAAAAACAAATCTGACTGAAAATACAGGTTAAGGCAAATTTGGAAGAAAAGGATGAGGTAAGAAGAGAAAAATAATGTTGTTTTAGAAAAGCCACAAATAGACAAGAAGAACCTCCCAGTCTGTATTAGTGTAAGAATTGAGAGCATCATCAAAACCAGATGATCAAATCTGACTGTGCTTTTCAAGAATGTTCCCTGATCAGAAGGTTGTGAGGCTGTATCTTTACATTCATACCTTCAACATGCTGACTATAACTTGCCTTCACCTCTCACTTCAGCTCCATACCTTACCCCCCAGTTGCCCTGATATCTATTGATGGTACTGTGGTTTATGATGGATCAATGAAAATATTGGAGTTTAAAAAAAACAAAACAAAAACAAAAACCCAAGAACAAAACAAACAAGAAACATCACCACAAAGCAAACAAACACTCCCTGGAGAGCAGTTATTTGTAATCTGAGTTTTGACAAACAGCTGTGTTAGCGCCACTAAAGTGAGGTGATCCCCTTGGGAATCAAGGGCTGCCACTGGAAAACTAGTAAAAAGAGCATTAAGGTGGCTTCTGACACTAAGAATACACCACACTACAACCTAGATGCCATTAGTCCATTACTCATTCTGAATGCTCATTTTCCATTGTGCAGCAACAGTAAGAATACTATATAAAGAATACTCAAGAGTAATTTCTGTAAGTATGTATGGAAAACACTCATTCATAAGAAGCAGAGGCTTAAAAAATAGTTGCAGAAACCAGAATACAATCAATAATGCATAGACACTAAAGTGTTGTGAACAGCTGGTAGGATTAATGTACCTTTTGGTACATTTATACAGATACATGGAAAAGTATTGGATACTTATGCTAAACTGACACTAACCTTGAAGGGACCAGCATCTATTTTTTTTGGTGGTAGCAAAATATCTGACTCCAATAGTCACACAGTAAGTGACAAGAGAAGATAATCCTCTGTGTAAACTGGAATAGTTGAGAAATGTGAACAAAATACTACAGCAACTAGGGCTAAAAGCTGCATTCACAATTTCCCATCTCTCCCCATGCCAATACATGCTATACTAACATTAAACCAAAAAATTACCGAGTTCTTGTTTCTGTCCTTTTAGGATTTTTACATGGCTCAAAATCACCGTCCTAAAATGTGTGAAGGGAACACCTTGTACTCTACACAGGTTCTGCACTTCACAGTGCCAGCTGGCAATGCTTAGAGATAGACCCCGAGAATGAAATAAGTACTGTCTGTACAACTACACCCAAGACTTTTGTTCTCAAAAAGGAAACCTGTTTTTTCTTGGTGAGTATTTGACCAAAGCAAGATGGTGCAAAGACAATCCTATTCCCAATCCATGAAAAGAGGAAACCACCAGAAGAAAAAACTCTTGCGGGTTTTCTGGTACCAAAGAGTCACCGAATCATGACAAGACAATTCAGGAATTCATGCAGTTATTTCTAGCTTCAAAGGGAAGGATCACAGCTTACTACACTAACTGGAATGCCATTCAAAGCACCTCAAGTAACAAGGGTAATTAAGATATGGTTGCTATTCGAAGAAAACTATTTACTGTAGGTAAGTTAGTATTTTCTTTCATGCACATTATCTAACACTAGCAAATTGACAGCCAGTGAGCTTAAGCTGAAAGTCAGTAGTATTTCCTGGCATGTGCAGGTGCTCAGGTATCTTCCAGTCTCCAGTGATAGCACCTGAGCTTTCAGGTCTTTCACTGTCTCAACACACTAGGGTGGACACCAGTGGAAGCCAGTCTCAAGGATACACATAAATAGCATATCCTAAGGAATCTGTAACAGTTAAGGTAATCAACAGTTTATTTTTTAATTTGCTTTTCTAATGATTTGTCCGCCTACAAATCCCCAGTAATTTTCATGGGCACATTTCCTGGAGGAGCATTTGAGATGTCCATTTCAAATTTTATTAGGACCTTGACAAAATCTGCATTGCCTTTGCATGGTTCCACAACAAATTAATGCTGCATATATGTATAAACAGAAGACTATTACTGCCCTATAGACACAGGAAAAACAAGTCTTCACAAAAGCTAATGAAGCAGCTTCTCTCTTGTAAGATGACAATTATTTGTGGCAAATATCAGTCAAAATTTACAGGAACAATTGTATTTTTGATTTGGAGAAACTGTATGCCGCATAAACAAAAACACCAGTCACAAAGAAAATTTGTATTTTGTGAATATCCTTAAGGGTTCTACAAATGTAATGAGAGAACACAGCCTTGTCATTCCTGCCAGGCTCAGAAAAAGCACCATCAGATAGCAAAAAAGCTGACTTAAGTATGAGCTAAGAATGGAAGTCGATGCTTTTCAGTAAGTCTTTCTCCTACAGAGCGGGTGTTTTCTATCCACTAAAATATTTGCCAGTATTTAAAGATGAGAGGCATTAAAAAAAAAAAAAAAAAAGACAGTGAAGTTAAAGCAGAGGGAGATGCCCACAATGTATCGGTAAACTCAGGCCAAGTTCCTTTTAAAATAGAAAAGCCCTTATGATAAATCTACAGCAAAAATCTAGTACAGGACAGATTGGAATGACTGAACATGGTGGGTGGAAGGAGGCAGCCTCTTGAAATACTTTTTTTGAGATAAATGAGAGAGAATGAACTGCTCTAACTACAGCTGGACTGATAAAACATCAGATTCATGTGATCCAGCAGAAGACTAGCATGAAGACTTGTAAACGAATCTGTTCCATTTCAGTAGATGGATATTCTTGGTAGGATCCTACTATGAATAAGGCTGTTTAAAACATTTAAACAAAAATTTTCTCTAATGAAGGTAATCATTCAACACCCATATTGAAAGACAGTTGCACTGCAGAAGTAGGACCTGCACGAGTGATGTGTTATTCTTGGGAGTCGCAAACAGCACAGAAAAGACAATATGAAAGTTCTTGAGATCTAAATGGCAATGGATTTTTTTTCTTTTCTTCAGGTATATGAGACTCTCAGCAAAGGCAGCTGTTTGATGGTTACTCTTATTTTTCCTTCTGTTGGAGAATTCTAACTTGCTGAAAGTCACTCAGATGATGTTTTAGCATCTGCTTAAAGCCCACCAGAAAGCAGATCACTGGAAGGCAGCAGTTCTAAGATAGGACACCTTGCCTAGCCTTTTAACAGATGGAAAAACTCCTTCAATGTTTCATTTTCAGACAAGCTCAGGTAAAGCACAATGGTCATAACCTATACGGAAAGAAATGTCTAGTACACATTCAAAGCTCAGTGGCAAGCTCTCAGCTCCAAGATACCTACAGAGATAACTTCGTATCATTAAACTTATTATTCACTGTAATAATTTACACTATTACTTTAAAAGATTAATCATAAAAATAATCAATCATTAATCATAAGTTATTAATTATTTGCATCACCTGTATTGCAACTACTGTTATGAGCTCTGCAATTTATATTTGTCACTAGAGACTTCAATGCAAATGGACAGAATCACAGCATATCCCGAGCAGGAATGGATCCATGAAGATCACAGAGTACAACTCCTGACTCTACTCAGGGCAACCCAGAAGTTAAACCATACATCTAAGAGCACGGTCCAAATGCTTCTTGAACATTGACAGGCTCAGGGCCATGACCACTTCCCTGGGGACTTTGTCTCAGTGCTTGACCACCCAGGTAACAACCTTTATAAGTAGTTACAGCTTTCATTCAGAAACCCAGCAACAACACATGATGTGGAATGTGAACCAGACTGTGGTATGCTGGAACCTAGGAATCCCAAGATAACACATAGCCCAGTAAATTGAGATTAGGAGCACACGAATGAGTTTCTACAAGGTGAACTAAAGTGTGAACTTGGAGCATGCAACAGGAAGCTCATAGGAGTTAAGCAGCACAAATTCTATTTGTGTGATACTTTTTCATGATCCCTTAGATGCGATACCACAGTGGTACTGATAAGCCAGAATAACTATGGATCCATTGAACTATCATTCTGCATGTGCTGTCTTTTTCTACAATGAACAGTCTTCACAGGAATTGCTGTGTGTGGATGTAGGACATAACGTTACATATTCAGTTACATACTGGTGTGAAGATTTAAACCTCAGTGATTCTGTCGTTCTGTGTGTCTGCTACTAGAATGAATACCATCCTGCTTATGTACACACATACTGAGTTCTCAAACTAGACCAACTACTGCTATTTCAGTTAAAAAGAGACTGAAGTCTAGCCCTACAACAAATACAAAGCACCTGGTTGTAGAGGCTGTCAGAATATTAGCCTACTATGAATCCAAAACATCTATAAGATCAGGGTAAAAAAAAATGAGACAGGGATAAAGATGTTATAGTTATAGAAGTTACCTAGTTGGATATTAGAAATCTGATGCAGGTAAGAAGTTTGAACTTACCAAAGACTTAGGCAGCTTTATGTTCTTCTTCCTTAGTTTCTTGCAACCATAACATACTGCAAACATTAAAGCCAGGCCCAGAATAATACCACATGGAATGATGATATATTGTGTGCCTAAGAAGTTAGAGTAAATTCTGTTAGGAAATTTGGAAAAATAAACAACTGCTGTATCATTTAGAGTAACTTCAGAAACTGTAATAGAATCATAGAAACACAGAATGGCTGGACGGGACCTCTTAAAGATCATCTAGTTCCAACCCCCCTGGCACTGGCAGGGACACCTTCCACTGGACCAGGTTGCTCCAAGCCCCATCCAGCCTGGCCTTGGACACCTCCAGGGAAGGGGCAGCCACAGCTTCTCTGGGCAACCTGCCCTAGTGTCTCTGCACCCCCACAGTGAAGAGCTGCTTCTTTGTATCTAATATAAATCTATCCTCTTTCAGTTTAAAGCCATTACCCTTTGTACTACCACTACATTCCCTGATAAAGAGTCCCTCCCCGTATTTCCCGTAGGCTCCTTTAGGTACTGGAAGGCTGCTATTAAGGTCTCCCCAGAGCCTTCTTTTCTCCAGGCTGAACCAGCCCAACTCTCAGCCCAACTTCATAGGAGAGGTGTTCCAGCCCCAAATCATCTTTGTGGCCTCCTCTGGACTCGCTCCCAACAGGTCCGTGTCCTTTGTACAATGGGGGCCCCAGAACTGAACACAGTACTCCAGGTGGGGTGTCACAAGAGCAGAGCAGAGGCAGAATGACCTCCCTTGACTTGCTGGTTACACTTATGATACAGCTCAGGATACAGTTGGTTTTCCGGGCAGCACACACATATCAATGGGTCACGTTGAGTTTCTCATCAACCAACACCCCCAATTCCTTTTCCTTAGGGCTACTCTCAATCCACTCATCACCCAGCCTGTATTTGTGCTTGGGATTGTGTCGATACATGTGTAGGACCTTGCACTTGATTTTGTTGAACTTCATGAGGGTTCTACAGGCTCACCTCCCAAGCCTGTCAAGGTCCCTCTGGATGGCATCCCACCCTCCAGTGTGTCGACCACACACAGCTTGGTGTCATCGGCAAACTGGCTGAGGTTGCACTTGATCCCACTGTCCATGTTGCTGACAAGGATGTTAAACAGCACCGGTCCCAACACACCCACCTCTAAGGAATGTCACTTGTCACTGGTCTCCACTTGGACATTGAGCTGTTGACCACAACTCTGAGTGTGACGATCCAGTCAATTCCTTATCCACTGAGTGGTCCATCTGCCAAATCCATGTCTCTCCAATTTAGAGACAAGGATGTTGTGTGGGACAGTGTCAAATGCTTTGCACAAGTCCAAGCAGATGATGACAGTTACGTTTCCCTTATCCACCAACACTGGAACCACATTGTAAAAGCCACCAAATTTGTCAGGCATGACTTGCCCTCAGCGAAGCCATGCTGGCTGTCACCAGTCACCTCCTTACAGCTCAGAATGCTTAGCTGTAATGTGTGAGTTTGTCATATTACCACCTTTTTTTACCCCAAAAACCTTACTTTATAAAGCATTGTATCAAGTAAATAAAAATTAGAATGACAGAAGATTTTTCAATTTATATCAACACAATCCTGTCTTTATAGAGGTAAATTTTATAGCTAATTTTTTGTTCCATAGAGATGGCAGATGGGGATGAACAGGTCTGTATGCTTCCACATGATCGCATATTAACTGACATAATAATTACATATAGTCTATGTACAATGAAATTAAGATGTGGAATTTTCCAAAACATAGGATTGTTAACTATTACTAGTAAGATTCCACTAGTCTGACTCTCCTTAATGTCGTTCCCCTCAATCATATCACTGCTATTGTGCATAAAAGAAAGAACACAACTGCTTCTATCAATTTTATCTCTTTTCTCTAGCGCAGTTTTGGGCCATAATGAAGTAAAATTAAAAAGTTTATTAAGAAAAAGACATCAATACCTTAATTTTATGACCAAAAGTTTACACTTGCTTCAAACTCAAGAAAGGCTACATACATTTTCCTCAGTGATGACACTGAGTAAAAAGCCATTTATTAGGCAAAAGAGACAATGCTTCTGAAAACCATGTTACTCAGTGAATGATCCACCTGTCATTTGTTAATTACACCAGTGATTAGGTGCAATGGAAACAGATTTTGTAATACTAATGAACAGCAAAAGCACTCAAAAAAATGTCAGGGTCACTTGAAAATAATATATGATCTTGAAATGTCTTTAGAACTGGGAAAGTGCATTTGGAAAAGAATGACCATGCTTTCCTTTTTTTTTGTACTCTTCAATAGGCATTCGAGTCATCTCACGTCTGTATCAGAGCTCAAATACTTAGACGTCTAAGATCTTTGGTCCAACTCAGTACACATTCTTACTAATGTTTCAGAATTCTTACTCAATGTCTGATTGACAGGAACATGAATGCAGCTTTCTTCTGATGGGATGCCAAGGATCAGACCATCATACAAGCTTCCCTTTGCTGAAACACAGTAAGTGGAGCCTTCCACAGGAACTGGGATGTTGAGGATACATTTATACATCGTACAGTTGTCTTCTTCAGGGAAATCTTCTTTAGTCTGAAAAAAATGAAAATAACATTATATCATTTGACTCAATACATCAATATAAATATTATAGTACCTTCCAACACTTCCAAAAATGTTAAAACACTATCAGATGTGGCTTCTACATCATTTACATGCCTTGCAAAAGCTGTGTGAACTTTGGCTATCAGACCACGGTGCTTTCAGCTAAAATCCTGTTCACAGTCTAGATGCGCATTCCTAATTCACTTCTAAAACTTGTGCCTGGAGGCACAGGAAAAAAGTAACTGTATATAAACACATCTACTATACTTTTCTTCAGGTTCACCCTCCATGATTACTAAATAAAATGGTATCAATTTATTGAAGGGTAATCTTCCTAAATGAAAGGTCTATCTGGAGAAGTGAAAGGGGCACAAGTAAAGTTATCGATGTTTTAGCATGTAAACAGAAACAATAGTATGGGATCAAGTAACTTTGTCTTGTGTACAACTAACACAGTAATCTCAGCTTTGCTATAAGATGTCCATTTGGACAATTAAAATCCAGACCTTCCAGTCACATATCTCATTGTGATGCACCTGACATTTCAGGACTTCAGCAGTCCTATGTTATATACAACTGTTTCTTTGATTATCTGTTGGCTCTGTGTGTCATAGGAGTGAATCTGTTGTTTATGCGTTGAAGGTAAGCAAGTATTTTTAATCTGAAGTTTTCATTTTGGAACTTACCAGATTTTTATGATCCCGAAAAGTCACCAAATACTTAAGCTCTGAATAAAGGTCTTTGATCCAAGGAAGATAGTCCACAGATGGAAATTCAGGATGGTAAATACCAACTGTGATTTTATCACCATGCCTTGAGAGATTCAGTTTTGGTGGTCCTACTTTTCCTGCAACACATTGCACCTTTGCTATTAGGTCAAAGCTTTTAATATAAAAGATACTATTTATAGATATCATTCCAAAATTCATCAGAAATTTGAGAATTACATGATTATTTCAATGCTGGTAATATTGCACAGCTGTGACACTTAGTAGTAATGAAGGCTTTTGGATTAATGAATCTGCTTCTAAAATGGAAACACAGATTGATTGTCTGTGCAGAATTTCACTGTTAAGCAATCCAACTTTCCTAAACACACAAGACCGTAAGAATTCAGCTGACAACAGAAAAAAATAACAAAGCAAACACGTACGTGAATGAGAACAGAACACAAAATACTGCTGATTAGATCCCACAATAAATCACAGTCAGCTAAAACAATACTATACTGAAACAAAGGCTATCTGAAAATCTAAACAAATCTAATTTTGAGCAACAGTACTTGGGAAGCCTGATTTCCCATGGCAACAGCCTATGTGAATTTTTGGTGTTTAATGATCTGTCTGAACATATGAGTTTCTTCTTCAATGGGAAAATGCTCCTCCATACATGGCTATCAATTTTCTGCAAACTGTCAAATTCAGCATTATTACTATGACTCCTGTCCCTCTGTCAAACACTAGAAACCAGACACTGACTCCAAGTCATGGGATTATTGGGTGAGGAAATCACAGCAAAAAACAAAGAGGGACTCCACTTCAGCTCCAGCAATGCAGAAACCCAGCTCTATCTAAAGCATAGACTAAGTCTGGGAGAATATCCTGCCTGAAAGCTATATATTGAGAGTGGAGCAAGTACAAAAGGAAGTCTCTCAGCCTTTTCCTCACTTTTGTGTCCGCTTTGCACTGACCATGCAATGCTGGGGCCTACCCCACTGTTTTGGACAGGCTGGTCTGGAGTCTAGACACACAATTTACTTTTACAATATTTATCTGAAAAACTGTGATTTCTCCTGAAGCAGCCCAAAGGATTTACATGAAGAATGAGTAACTTAGTTATTCAGCTACAGTGGACTCTCATAGCTTCTAAATAGTATCCAGACACCCAAAGCTGTAAGTATGTAAGATTATAGTGTCAAGCATGGCATCGCCAACCGCCTGAATACCGCTTCAATGATGTCTAAAGGTCCACAGCTTCCAGTGGCAGTTTCCTACCCTAAAGTGGTGGTGGGACACCAGGCAAGAATATGGGAAGGATGCACAGAGTACACCGTCAGCATCACTTTCTTGCCTTTAGAAGTTTTGAAAAAAATATTGAGATATCACAGTGACAAGGCTAACAAGTCTCTCCAGAGGCAGAACTACAGAAGTTCCTACTGAGCAACCATCATGCTTCATTTCATCCTGGACTCCTGACTTCATGATATTCCCAAATGAGACACAGTAATACCGCAAAAAGGGTAATTACCAACTTTTTAAATTTTGGGAAAAAATTACAAGGTTTAGTTTATGATGGAACTTACCATGCTTTTGCAAAATAAACTCATTTGTCTCAACATACTCAGACTGCTGTGACCCAACAACAGCTTTAACTCGAAGCCAGTGAGAGGCAAAAAGATCATTTATTTCCGTTGAGAGATCACAAAAATGAGCTGAAATGTTCACACAAGTTGAGACGATCTTATAGTAACCTAAACTGTAAAACAGATCAAGTAATAGTTAACACAATTTCAATTGCACAATATTGTATAATACACTGCCTGTGACAAAACATCTGTGAGGGTGACTGAGCACTGGTACAGGTTGCCCAGGGTGGCTTTGGAGTCTCCATCCCTGGAGAGATGCAAAAGGCATACGGACACAGTTCTGGGCAACCTGCTCTAGGTGGTCCTGCTTGAGCAGGGCGGGGTTGGCCCACATGACCTCCAGAGGCCCCTCCCAATCTCAACAATCCTGTTATTTGACAAATTTTGCCTTAATTTACGCTTAGTCAACCTTCACCCCACAGAAACAAAAGAATTTACCATGCACTCATTGCTTTTATATGCTTCTAGAGAGTATAAAGTACAGGAAATGACAAAAGAACAAGAACTTACTTGTAAGGTTTGATTTCCACAATAAAATTAGGAGTTTCAGACATATTTGGGTACTGCCAATGCAAGACAGTTTTGAAATTTTCAGATGTTACTACAATCTCTGTTGGTGAAGGCACTAGAAGAAATAAAACAATTGCACTTTGATAAATAGACCCAGTTAAGCATAAGAACAGCCCAATATATTTCTAAATTATTTGGGAAAGGCAACATGCTCAAAATGACTGGAAAAATTAGACATAAAAATTGCAAATACTTCCCCCCAGATGGGGGGGAGGGGCTTATCACCAGTATGAACATATATAAGCCCTGCAAGCCGATTCTTCTTCCCTCCTACTGAGACAGCTTTCTTCCTGTTTGCAACCCAGAACCACAGATAGCCCATGCCCACTGAAAGCAAGTTCATCTGATAGCCCATATCAGGGTCACAAGCTGTGATGATTATACCCCTGTGTTGGTATTATATAAATGTACCAGCAAGACAGATAGTATGAATTTACTGAAGTTAGAGGAGATTAGTCCAGCTCCTGTAGATCTCTCTTGATCTTCAGAAACTGAACTGGGTTGGGAGGGCAGCAGAGAGAGAGGACACAAAAGCTGCAGTATCAGGGTTTGTGCTCCGGGGGAGTTCTACTGAGTCCTACAGTCTCCCTACAGCCCTGCCGAAAGACAGCAGGCCTGCTGGGGAACGCCTGGATTCAACGTTAATTTCTGACAATGCCATTTTTACAGCTCCAGTGGTATGTTTGGAAAGCTGTGGTGATAATAGGCTCCTAACATTTGTAAGGAATTTGAACACTGAAGCTGTAATGTAGTTCCATATACGGGAAAGCATTTGAAGTACATTCAGTAAACAACATCAGAGGTAATGTAGCAAGCGATACAAAACTAAAAAGCATCATAGTTTCCTCACACAGCAAGCTTCTGTTCTAAGCACTATCAGCGACAGGGATATCAGGGGAGTAGCTGCAGAGGAAGGAAAATGCCAAGATCCTCTAACTATTCAAACTGTCGCGTGGCATTTGGAAGAGGACAAAAATAAAGGTCACTCAACCAATTTTAATTGTTACTTCTTAGCATCTCAGTGTCTGGCTTGGTATCCTTAATGTTGTCTTAATATAGCTTTTGTGAAACAATCACAGGTAACTCATATTTGACCTGCTCTAGATTGCTGCTTGTTCACAAAGGAAGTGCTCCAACTTCACTCTGTGACATACTGAGGGAAGTAAACAATTTTCACATCTTGAGAACAAGACCACAAAGATAACACTCTATAGAAAGTAATACACGGAGGCTGAGAGATGCTATTAACCACGAAGATTTGATACACGTAACATACATCACTTTGCAAGTGGTGCTGTGGTTTAGTTATGTTTTAATATGTACAGAAGTGGTATTTCAGTTATTGGAAAATGAACATGATCGCCAAATTATCAACCACAAGAAAAAAAGGTGACAAATTGACAGAAGAGGTGTCAAAACACATAATGTAACTTAAAATATTTCAGTGTAAGGTACAGTGTAGTAAGTCTTACACAGTGAAGTCCTTTGAGAGCTCAGGAGGAAAAAGAAATTGTATGATCTCTGGAAGCAAGGTCAAGCTTTGCAGAAGATTAGTCATGGTTTGCACAAAGAAGACACAAACGGCCAAAGCTGAACTAGAGTTTAAAGTGGCCAGTGTTGCTTCAAATAACAAGAGGGCTTTAAGTATGTTAACAGGAAGTGGATGTCTAAGGAAAACACTGGACCAATACTTCTTGAAGGTGGTCACCTGACCAATAGGGATGATGAAAAAGCAGACACATTCAATGTTTTTTTTCTTCCTCAGTCTTTAATAATACTGATAGACCTTGGGATGCTTGGTCCTCTGAGTCAGACAGACCCCAAGTGCAGGAATAGTGACTTACCCTTTGTGGACACTGAAATTGTAAGGGGCCAGCTGTATCAGCTGAATGTTCACAAGTCCATGAGGCCTGATGGCATTTACCCCAGAGCACTGAAGGAGCTAGAGGATGTTACAGTAGGATCCCTCTCAATTACATACCAAAGGTCTGGGGAGGCTGACTGGAGGCAAGCCAATGCTATTCTACAATTTACAAGAGGGATGTGAGGAAAGATCCAGGAAACTACAGACCTCTTAGTCTAACCTCAGTACCTGGAAAAAATTATGGAGATGATTATACTGGGTGCTACTAAAAGACATTTCAAGAATAATACAGTCATCAGGCACAGTCAACATGGGTTCACAAAGTCCTGTTAAACTAATTTAGTATCCTTCTGTGATAAGATCACTCACCTAGCAGATGAAGGGAAGACAGTGGATGCAGTTTTTCTGGATTTTAGCAAGGCTTTTGATACTGTCCCTCACAGCATTCTTCTGGAAAAACTGTCCAACTGTGAAATCAGCAGGTACCTGGTGCTCTGGGTGAAGAACTGACTGAACAGCAGGGCTCAAAGGGTTGTAGTGAATGGGGCTGCATCTGTGCTGCAACCAGTCACCAGCAGTTATCCTCAGGGCTCAATTCTAGGGACAGTTCTGTCCAATATCTTACCTATGATCTGGATGCAGGAGTTGAACACACCATTAGCAAATCCGCCAATGATACGAAACTGGGAGGTGCTGTTGACTCTCTCAAAGCACGAGAGACCTTGCAGAGGGATCTAGATAGATTGAAGCACTGGGCAGTGACTAATGGGGTGAAATTTAATAAGTCCAAATGCTGGATTCTGCACCTGGGACAGAGTAACCCTGGCCACAAGTATAAATTGGGAGAGGAATGGCATTGTAATGTAAAAGTTTGAAGTACTTGTGAATGCTGAGCAACCGAACAGAGCTAGAAGGAATCTGCCAAGCCACTCCTCCACAGCTCCACGAAAGACTACTCAATCTAATTCTCCACTCTTCCATCCAGAGATGACTTTTAACATGCTCCAGTTCTGAGACTATTAAGGAACTAGCAGATAACAAGCTTCCCTCATCAAAAGGCAAGTTTCTTCATAAATTATACCACCATGTAAACCACCTTAGCAGCCACCAGGGACATCACCATCAACATGTCAAAATCTCCAATGGCGCTACAAGTTGGCCTTGATCACTTACAGGAATGAGTTTACACATACCATCAGTTCATCCTTTTCATCCTCCCTTTTAATAACTTTGCTTTCTGTGATCAATTTAAGCACTATCTCCTGCTCTGATTTCACTCCATATCCTCAAAACAGACCTAAAGGATACCTTTCAGAATGAGCTGAGAAGCTAGAAGTCATAACTCTACTTACAAACAAAAGCCAGTAAAGAAATGTTTATAGCACACCTCCTCTCATCTCATTAACCTCTCCACATTTCACAGGCCAAGAATTATCTCCCTCTCTTTTTCTAAGGGATAACACCTCATTACTCCTTCTACCACTTCTCTTATTCTCTACAGGCACCAGCCATCTTGTCCCTCAAGTGCCATAATGGATATGTAGTAAAGTCAAATGTAAATCATTCTCAGCTTGTATTTATTTTTGAGGTTTGCTGGTTCTACTTTAAAGCCAAAGACACCCTGAATGCATCTCCTCTCTTTAATTACACTTGTTATGTTAATGGAAGACTACCTCTACCTGCAAACCTTGCCTAACCAATTTGAGTGACCAAGGACTTTACTTTTCAGCTCATTTAGCAGTAAGACACAGAAACTTAGCACAAGTAACAGCAGCTGAAGATGCAGAAGTGAGTGCTCAGCAATGCAACAGTTCAGACCAAAGGACCTCAGAACAGGCACAGAAAACTGATCAGCTTGTGATCAACCATGGAAAGTCTACTTTTAACGCCTTGGTCAGAAAATTCTAGTTCCTTTCTTTAGGCTTGTTACCTCCCCTGCATGCCCTTCCCCAAACAATCAAACAGTCTTCACATTGTCCAGCTCACAGTCCCTTTACTCAGGCTGTCTGACTTCTAATGGCTTCTCTTCCAGACAGTGCAGAGACGGGGCCTTGGGACATGCCAGCATCATTCCACTCCAGCATCAAGGCTACGGACCATAGAGAACACTGCAGATTTTCAAAGTGCTAATGTCTAATCTTCACAGATGCTATTTCTGCATATTGCCAGTTAAAATGCCATAATACAAGCGTGGAAAAAGTGAGAAGAAAATTGATCAGCAAATCACGTTGTGATGCATGATACAGGACAAGCAAGTTCTGCCTTGCCTCTAGTTCAAATGCAGTGATTTCTACCCGTGGTTAGCTCTGTTCACCTTGTTTTATAAGACACCAATACTATCTGACAGAAGAGCAACAGACAACAGTAAGAACATTTTTTTTTCCACAGGAATCCAGAAACTTAACTGTGTATGTGCGTTGTGGAACAACATAAGGGGAACTTCAGACAGCAGCTCTATGTCCAGAGAATAAAGGAATAAAAGACAAAGGTAGGCCAGTCAGATTTACATTTTTTTTTTTTAAGAGTACCAAAAGAAACTAAACATGACTATTTTGAGGATAAAGAACAGGAAAGTTGGAAAGCAAAGGTAGGGGTAAAAGCAAACATAAGTATGATCACAGGGTGACCTAGAAGTTGACCATTTAATAGAGTACAGACATGGGAATGCAACTGCACAGCTTATCTCAGCAATCTCACACCTACATCAGCTTATAACCAACATACACAGAGAAACGTGAATACTTACTTCTTCACATACAAACAATGCAGACTAACCATTGCTGCCATATTGGTGGCAAAGACCTCAGCAGGTGTGACTACTGTGGGGTGTGTGTGCATATATATAAATATTCAAGTATCTTTTCAATGTGCAACTATCTTAAGTAATGTATTTAAGTTCTGGAGACATTTACATCTTCAGCAAACTTGCATAGCAGACAGGAAGGAAATACATGTGAGAGGAAATTAAAAACCAAATGCCACTGAAAGGTACTTGTTTTACTGCAAATATCTGCTGCTTGGTTTCAGGTTGCTAAGAAATAAGGGAAGGGGGGGAGGGGAGGTGGTGTGCGTTTGTTTTGTTTTGTTTTTTTCCCCGCCCCTCCCGGAGTAATAGGAACAACTGTACCTAGTTGCATAGTTGCATCTTCTAAGACTAAGGAAGATAGCTCATAGAAGTAACCCCCTACTTG